ATTGTATAATCTTTTACTTACTGATAAATTAATCCATACTAAACACAGTGGAGAGAGTTATCATTATATTTTTATCGATGACGATGTAGCATAATGATATCAGATCAGTTATATCATATCATACCTTCATGTGAGGAGATTGTAAACACTGTTGGATTTTGTGATTTACATTATGGGATGATCTCAGTTAGGAGTCTTCAGAATTGTCTATCCACGACCCCTTTGATTCGAGTTGGTTACCGATTGTATTGGAAGACATCGTGTCCTGAACGAAGTTAGAAATGTGACAAAGTTTAGGATAACTGGTTGGTCTAAAGATAAAGCACTAACCGTATGACTTGAATTTTATTAGTTCAATCCTCGATAAGATCTGAGATGTGCACTATTATTGATTTTCATACTTCCAATGTCTCCTATAGTTTCCAATCATTGTTTAACATAAGTCACTTTCTAATTGTTCACTATAATATTTTAGTTCACTTGAGTGAGTAGTTTGAAGAAATATATATATAGGAATAATACGTTTCAAGTAAATGTAGATAATTTTAAGTTAAACCGATTAAATTTATTTTATCATTCAAATTTTACATTTGTGTAACTCGAATTCCTACTGATGAGTATTCTGTTCAATCGTCCTTGTCATGAAACTTCGTTAGAGTATTGTAAAATGTGATCTATCCTTGGAAATCCGTATATCAGCCATTTCAAGCTAGTTTTTTGAACATTCAGTAACTTCTAGCCAATCTTTGCATTCCTTAGTTGCTTAATCGACTGATGAGAACTATCCAACTTATTCAGCTTGACATTTAGGTTACTATTTCCTTCACAGATGATGAATATATTATCTATACATTTTCTGTATAAATGGAGGCTATTGATCGTTGGTTGAAATATACTATTTCGCAAAATATCTATCAAGCCGTCAATCAGACAATGGCCCACTGATTATCGCACTATATACACCTCTTAAGATTAATTCATTTAGACTGCTTTTTAGACTACCAATTATTGTAAGATGCTATTGCAATTATCACTCAGAATATGCATCTTCAGTAGAGATATGAAACAGTAATAATGGAGTAATGAGTAGAACGTATTACTAAAATGTATAGTTATTGTCTACTTTTATTCAATATAGGAATATGAATTTCACCAAGAGGATTTATTGCAAAAGGAGAGTACTCTATAAGTTAAACATGAATAGTATAAACTGAAGTCTTAAATTTATATGCATCAGTCATTCTGAATCTTCTCATTAATGTTTAGGACTTCAATCGATCGGTCACTTTTGGCATGTGTGCATCGTTTGACGATTACCTGTCACTAATTCACAAACATTTTAAATAGAGAGGGAATGGTGACCATCAGTGAAATTCAAACTTTTCATCCTATTTGAAATTCGTCATTTGAAAGAGACATGAGTCTTGTACACTACTGTTACCACCATCTATCTCTGATTAAAGAATTATTAAATAATTTTGTCTTCACAACTGTTCTAGCAACAAGTTGGTTTTCAGTTCAGTTTACATCACTCCTTTATTTGAAAATCATGTTCATAATCACACTTATTTGAATATGGCGATTTGTATTACATTTAAACAAATTTATTTGTTCGATGTCCTTATGATTAAGAAACCACTTGGATTACTTCAATTTTTGTACAAATGATCGTTTTCTTCATGTTTCACAACTATTGATTGTGTATATGGTAGTTTTTGTTAGTAGGGATTTTCTCGTAATTTCGAGTGAAGTATACCAATCACCATTGTTCTTAACTGACGGAATGACATTTTGGTAATATATAAACTGAAGTTTAATTACTTAAACTTCTGTCTCAGTTACATTCCGATCAATATTATTCACAACACTAATTTGTTACGGCAAAAAAACTGTTAGTTTACTTAATCATATTCAAATCGAAACTCTCTAACTATCTGTTAATATACGATGTTCTGTAGTATCTGTTTAATTCTATTTAATAATGTTTCAACTCTTAACATGAATCTATTGACCATCAATTAATTTTAAGTGAATTATGATGAAATATTGCAATCGACAAACAAAATATTTGATATAAAATTAACTAATTCCGTATGTATCATGATATAAATTTCTGTAGTAAATTACACAGTATTTAGGCAATAACTAAGTCATTATCCATATAATTGTATCTCATGTGTATTATCAAACAATAAATATTGAAAAATTAAAACTTTTAAATGAATATTAATGTTTTGACTAAGTGTTTATTACTAATCATACTTATTCAGGTGTTTTTCACTTTATCGACTTTTTGAAGATTTACTTGTTACAATTCAAATGAGCGCTCATCTTCAACTTAATAAAATTGAAATTTAAGTGTTTTGTTGAATTCTTAAAAAACGATTCAATATTGTTTGGCTGTTTTTTTTTAGACTAGAATTTATCGTAACACTCGCTAGAAAGGATAACATTAAAATGTCTAAAAAAAAGAAAATCAAACGAAACACTATACACCTTCAATCTTGAATACAACTTTTACAACACGTAATCCACTTAAACAATATACATATATATATACACTTTTATAAACAGTACAACAGGTTACAGAATTTTAAAAACATTAAGTACAATTGTTTTTTTTTTGTCTAAAGAATATCCTAAACAAAAATTTATTTGTAATTGTTGGACATTTAAATATAAATATTTAAATTCAAAATATTCCACAGTATATAAATCATTATGAAATAAGAATTATTTATGACGTCATAAGGAGTACATGTGAATATATCTTATGATTAGGATTGTGATTTATTGGTTTTAAATTGTATCAATATTATGATACTTGTTATGATTATTGCGACAGACTTTAGCATATTTTATACCATAAAATTCATATGGTTGACAGTAGTAGTAGTAGTAGTGCTAGATGTATGATGAATCGCTATTAAATTCATATTTCACTTCACTGTTTACGACTTAGACTATTAATGTATATATATCCAGATAGATAGATAAATGTCTGATTGTATGTGTTAATAATAAACTATACAATTTAACTACGAAAATAAATAATTGATTACTGACAAAAATGAAAAAAAAACATTGATGATTGATGATCTAAAAACAAGTAAGTATCCTTGACAGTAGTAATCTTGTCTTTTGTTTGTTTAAATAGGAATTAAACATATTTAAAACGCCACATTCAACGTATTGATTATGACACTATTGTTCTTTGAAGAAAGTCATGAGATTTTGTTTGCGAATGATTTTGGTCAATCATGTCTCATCAGATGAGGGGTACTAGTAAAAAAAATATACAACCTTTAACCCATTACAAATTGATTGATGTCATGAATATTGATTACTAAAATTTAATTGATTATTTCAGGAATATATATATGTTTGGTTTATTCACGTCTGTTAGTATATACGACTTCATGCAAATGGAAATCTGAAGTGATTAGTTGAGACTATTTCTTTTCGTTCTATAATTTCGAGAAAATACAAATGGACAAGGCTGGAGAATATGTATTCACTTCATTATTTCCAATCATAATTGAGTTGAAGATTTTATGCACAACTAGTCTTATTGAATTGATCAATTCTGAACTGGAATTTGAACAAGAACACAAAACCGAACTAAGATTAATTTATGGACTAGTAGATTTAAAATATTATTGCATTTTTAGCTGTTTTGTTTCAACCGGGCACTTATAGAAAAAAACACTATTTGTATTAAATAAGAAATGGAAATATTTTGATATTTCTTCATGGAAATTCTTCGATAACTGAACCACGTACTGAGATAATAGTGTAGAATAATATCATAGATGTCAGTCGATAAAATAGTTGAAATGTCATTAATTACCACATTAGTCAACACATTATGTAGTTTCAGAAAAAGTACAACCATTACTCACCTGTTAGCTGATAAAATACCTATTTAAGTGATCATAATAAATTAAGGAATTTGCAGAAGAAATTTTTTTATATGACGTGGGATTTATATGATATGTAAAAGGAGAAGTAAAAACTCAGAGATCACAAATTATGTGATCTATTATAAATTAAGTTTTATGAAAGCAGTTTCGGACTCTATTCGAAACTATCTTAACGTATAATGATGCAGTGTAATTAAATTAAGTTATACATTTTTGAAACCATGAATCGATCAGTGTTAGACCACTATTAGAAACCTGGGAGCACTGGACGACCACTTCGTCCTGGTATAGGACTCATCAGCAGTGCGCATCCACGACTCCTGCACCCCACAGGATTCGAACCCAGGACCTTAGGTATTGTGCGCGAACACCTAACCTCTGGACCATTGAGCCGGTATCTAACATTGTTAATGTCTAACTTGATCAATTCAATTTAATTAAATATTTATTGATATTATTGCGGTTAAATATTTTAAAAAGATCATCACATGAACCCATATGGATAGAATACTGAAAGTTATTACCGATAACTGTATGGTAATTTAAGGTCTTAAAACTCTCAGTTTTTATCTGTTTCAAAATATTGATGCATAAATTGCAAATTACAGTCTGAAACAATCGCTGAAATTATTTTATAACCCTTAAATCCATTTCGTGGTATAAAAATTGTGTTTAATGAAGTTGTTTTCCTACTTGATAAAAAAGATCAATAGTCTTTAATTGTATGGTTCAATGGAAGGTAATCAATATTTATTGCACTTCTTATATAACTGACCTCTGTCGGTCACACCTATGCAATGGACTTATGTCACAGCGAGCCATCAGTAGGCTCATGATTATTAGGAAAATGGGGAGTTTGTGAGGATCGTCTGATCGGAAGTTACGTTCTATTACTTACTGATATCAGCTAGAGAACCGCTGGAAACTGGTTAACACCATAAAACCGTTTTCGAGTAAAGCCTAAATTCTCTACTTTGTATGGCTTAATTATATCTCAAAGACCTGAAATGATTCTCAAAAATATTCTTATTAGATCAACTGAAGTTCACATTTCTTTCTCTTCTTTCTCATTTACAGTTTTCCAATTGTTACCACCTTACAACTTCAACAAAATGATCCAGAACTAGAAGCAGACAAAAAATTCATAATGAGGTTAGTTCATTTTCCTATTAAACGGTTTTCCTGTTTATCACTGTCCAAATTTTATATCATTATTATTTCTTATTGTTTTATTTGAATTAAGCAAACATAAATTATCATTGTTTCATTTTAAAATGATCAATTTTCAATGGAATGTGTTGTTTATTTGTTGATTGTTATTTTGTAATAATAATAATAATAATCTTTTTCTGAGTTATCCTGAGAATAATTCATAAAAAGTAAATAGCATTGTAACTCTAGCTATTTTACTAGTACTCTTTAACTGAACTATTTGAACATACGAATCTAGCCTTAATTCAGTACCGAGTTATGAATGAATGATAACAACAGTGGATAAATATGAAAATCTAACATTTTTTACACTTCATATATTAATTAGTTAACTAATTTAAAATATTTGGATTTAGTCTTATCTTCCACAAATTATATTCAACAACATTTTCTTTAAAATGACAATGTGTTTTTTTTTCCTGTTGGCAATGATTTTTTACAGTCATCCACTTTATCCTTTATTGGCTTTATTATTACAACAATGTGAATTGGCTACAGCTAGACCGGATTCACCGCCTTCATTGGATAATTTCAGCACAGAATTAACTTCATACATTCAACGTCGTATAGAAGAATTACAACAAAAAACAGGCAAAGACGAAAGTAACCGTGAAATGAATGAATTGAAATCAAGTACATTGAGAGTAAATCGTGGGAAATTAAATAAAATTAGTGATAAATATAGAAGTACAGAAGATGTCATCAGTATCAATGACAATAATAATAATAATACTTCAAAAACTACCATCTCTTCTGGATATAACACTAATCATTCATCTTCATGTACAAATAATCAACTTTTAACAACCACGATCACAACAACAATTGCACAAATGACTAATACTCTATCATCATCGATTAATACTACGCATAAACAGAATTCATTGACTAATGTAAGAAATATTAATGATTGTTTCTTAGCCAATGATAAAATCAACCATGATCTATCGACTAATTTTGTATATACTACTGATAATGATCATAGAAATCGTAAATCATTATTAGAATGTGATAAAATAATGAATGCTGGTGCTGATGCTGCAGGTGTTGATGATGCTGATGATGTTGATGATGATGGTGATGAATTGAAAAAATTCAATGGTTCAATTGTTGATGAAAGGAAATTTCAATTTTTAAGCAATAATTCTGAATTAAATGAATTAGTAAGTTCGAAATAGTCGCTTATTGATTTAAGCATAAATGTATGTTTTTATTAGAACAACACAGATATAAGCGAACAATATGGTTTTCGATTAGATCATCATCAAGCTTTACTCTGGTATGCATGGATATTTATATGAAAATTTTCAACCAATCAAGGCAATTTATAAGTCAATAATCACAGTGAAATAGATTACGACTCAAATTGTCTTAATGGGTTAAACATTTTCAGATGAATATTCATGTACATTAGAATAAAGCCTGATGATGATCTAATCGAAAACAATATTGTTCGCTTATATCTGTGTTGTTCTAATTTTCACAATGTGGTTTATTCCGGAATGAATTTCACTTTGAGTTTTAATCCATGGAAAATCTACTTCAGAATGAGAGTTTTTTTTAAATCAGTGGATTCTTTTTAGAGATAATTATGGTTTATAATGGTATTAGATTTTAGAGACATGTTTTTAAGTCAAGTCAGTTCATAATACAAGTGGCTATCGAGTTCTTTTATAGCATCATATAATGCAAATGACTCTTACAATACAATGAATGAGACTAAAATTTTCCAGTCAAACACATTTCTCAGTAGGTAGTGGAAGATTTTGAAGTTTTCCATGAAATCTCTGATTCATCTGTGCAAACAAGATTTTATGACTCCGATATTTTTAGTAGTTTGTTAGGTTCGTTTCCTCAATGACCTGATTTCACTAGGTGCCAATGTTCTTTATGTAACTTTGAACTCACAACACTAAACTTTACAAGGTGACATGTTAGCAATGAATAACATTCTAATCTTGACTTTTGTTTACCAATCCCTTCATCCTCGTTATAAGCCATAAAGTCAATAAGTTTTCTAAAATTGAAAATAAAAAATGCATATTTTTCTAACTGGAATATTTCATACGGTTGCAGCAATGTAGATAAGCAACTGCTGCATAAAATTTGAAAGATTCTACCAAAAAAGTTTATTTTTCAAGTACTAAACTCTCTATAAAAAAAAACTCATTGAAAGTTAAACAGCACTGGACAACAACAATGACTTACTTAATTCACTTCCGTTGCACTTATTTCAATTATCTAGCTCTATCGATTGATTAGAATTACACTGTAAAGAAAGACTGCGTCGTTTATATTTATTTATGTACTGGATTCTGTTGTAATTATTAGAGTGATACTTAGGAATAAATCAAATTATTAAAATAGTTTATGTTAGTGTATAATAGCTATCAACAGTGTTTGATAGTTTTACGTTCTTGATGTAAATTTAATTAATTGCATTTTACGTCATGATTACAATTTATTAAAATAGTTTGTACTAGTAAACACTATTGTGATTTGAAATTCGTTTCTTTTTACAAAATAAATCTATTTGAAAACAAATTTTCTAACATTAATGGGTTTATCTTGTTTTCAAGGTGTATCTAGTTAAACCACAGCGAACATGTGAAATTCAATTTAGAATGTTGTATGAAAATGTATATGTTGTTGGTTAGAGCAGATGTTTCTAGTTTATGCTTGTATATTTATCTTTTACATATTGTACTTTAGAACTAACAACATCTCATTATTCTAGGTACAGTTGAATACAAAAAAATGAAATCACAACAGACTGATTCACTAGTTTCAGTAAGCTAAATGAACTAAGACTGTAAGTTGTATCTCATTCAACTGTGTGAAAAAAAGATAAATTAATACACTGGGAATTCGTTGTTTATGAATTGTAGAGTCAATTCAACAAAACAGTCAGTGGTAAAGTATGCGAGAAAAAAAGCCAAAAACAATTGAATCTCATATGAAAATACTTTCTCTTTCAATCTTAGACTAGTATTCAGTAGAAATTCATTGATAATTGAGTGATTGGCTAAATTCCAGATGGAATTCAAAGAGTACTGCTTATTAAAGAATTTTAAATCAAGATTAAATAATATTATTATCTTATGGCTCGGTTTATTCAAGACATTTTTCTGTTCATTTTGTTGTATCCAACACAGATCATCTTTCTGCATGTTGAATTGTTATTTTATATCAAACCGTAAACTTTATCAAGTTTGTGTTTTTCATATGCCATGTCAATCTGTGCTAATATGTGCTCATATTTATATAGTCGATAGTTATAGATAACGCCAAAAGCTTGAAGTGAAATTGTGAATCATATTTTAGTACTAACCTAATAAAGGATTGGAAACACAATTGAAAGTAGGATACAATTAGTGAATGGCACAAAATCAAAATAACTTTTCATAAGTTAACTCAATGAAGAAATAAATAATGGTTAATCAACACTGTTTTGTCAATAGATATAAATGGAATATTGACTGAGTAGTTTTTTAAATATGCATAAACAATATGAAGTACAAGATGTTTGATATATTCTCTCTATAGGGTTCGAATATTGTATTACATTGTGTACTGTTACAGTTATTCTTAGAATAGATAGATTTTTGGTCATTAGAAATAAGAAAATGTTTGAAACTTCTGGAATTATCATCAATTTATTAAGTATATATTTCAAGTATTCAATCCGATTAGGAATATGCAACTGTTAGATCCCAATGACGAGCAAACTTAATGCAGCAGTCATCAAAAACAAATGTGATTTTGTCAAATTACCCATTCGTCTACTGAGGTACTCAACGAGTAGTCATTATTTCTAATATTATAGACACTAATAGATCATAATTTTTGAATAAAAATCCAATTGACTTATCATTTTAAACTAGATAACTGGTTTAATGTTGAGTTTTTATCATATTTGATAATTTTGTCAGTTTGATTAGGTTATGTTTTTGCATATAATTTACAACCATTAAATGTACGCTGGTTAGAAATGGTGATTAATTGTATTTTAAAACAAATACTCCACAAAAACGTGCCAACAAAAAATTCCGAATATTATGAGTTTGCTTTCAGAATATAACTAGATATCTACAAATAAGCAACCCAAGAAACGGCTGTACACTTAATGTTTGTAAGTTCCGATAGCTTACTTTGGTATTTCTTCTCTTCATATATGCTTTCTTCAGTACCCTGAATACTTCAATAACGTGATACATAGTGATGTATACATCATATAATACACAGTTATATTTATGTTTAAATATGGAAATGCATAATCCAAACTCTAATATCCATGATCTGTATGTTACTGAAAATTGCCGAACAATTAGTTATCTTGTTAGCAATGTCATTGTAAAAAATACACCAGAATTAACTAATGATAATTAATCTCTGTTTTCTTCCCCTTTTGTTATTCTATTGAGAAATATGATGGAAACGATGCTAGTTAAGATACTAACGCTACTGAAAGTAAATGAAAAATATGCAGTCAAAGCGTTCCTCTTTTGTAGTGCTTAATATCTATAATATTTTGTCACTAAAACTTTGGAAGGACCGACTTTTTTCATATGTTAATTTATATGGTCCTACAATTCATCTGTATATATTTATCTTTTATTCTCATATATATATATATATATATATATATATATATATATATATATATTCATCACCTTTACTAGTTCCTTTTATTGACTTCCGTATATTACACCATATGACTAAATCTTTTCTTATCTCTGGTATTTTATTTAAATATTATGAGTATAAATAAAGTAAATTTAGTTAGTTGTTTGTATTTGTAGAGAAACCATTGATATTAATTAAATGCACTTCTAGTTACTAAACAGATAGATTTACTGTTCAGTAATTTATAATTGTTATTTCTACTATTTTTAAAAATTGTGTCACTATAAGTAGTCGTCGACTGATGAATCAATATGGTTGAGAGGAAATATACCATTTGTGCAGTTTATATTTTATATGTATTATGCAGTATGAACTGGATATTTCTATTATACTTGACCTACTTTAGCCCTCTACAAAATTACCCTTCTAAATAGTTAAATCATCGAAATTTCAAATAACAGTTAGTATTTTCAATCGTACTCTAAGAGAATATTATCAATACTCTTCCATCATAAAACTGTGCCACAATCCCAATTAGATAAACATATCCTTGGCATATATGAAGTACATTATTATTTATTTGAATCTATATTCTTTATCTGAAGAATCATGCAATTTTTACTAGTCTGATAAAAGTGCTTTTTACAGGATAGTAAAATTTTTAATTAAACTTCAATTTTCTCTATAGTGACTGTTGAGTTTCATCACAATCATGAATTGATTATTGCTAGACCACCGTCAGAAACCTGGAAGCACTGAATGGCCATCTTATCTTAGTGTGTAACTCGTCGGCAGTGCGAATCTAGGACCTCCGCACCTGGAAATTGAACCAAAGACCTTCGATCTCGAGCATGAACGTCTAGTCTCTAAACCAATGGGCTGATATCTAACAGTGTTAATATCTAACTTTGACCACTCCAAGGTTTTGCGAAACTCCGCCTATTGTCTTTAGTAGGTAACTGCCTCATATCCGGCAGGGTTGAACTGTTCTAGTCCCGGCTTCTCGCTAGAACTACAAGAATTTCCCCACGAAGCTAGTGAGTACATTTATATGATTATCATTATAAGGATATGGAGATTGTTAAGTTTCATTAAAATCATGAATCCTTCCAGGTTTCTAATGCTGATCGAACAATGATCGATTCGTGATTTCGATAAATTCCAATTACCTGGTAGAGCACATCACCAAAGTCTAACTATTTCTATTTTTTAAAAAAAGATGTTTTTTAGTTAAAACACACGTATACGTGCATAGATAAATTGGTCACTGATTATTGATAAAATTGTTTATTATAACCAGTAAAAGCTACTACGAATAAATAAATAGTCATCTTGTTTATTGATTCAAAAATAACTTGCTTCAAGTCTTTGTATATTGTCTTACATAAAACTCATTTTATATGCTGATAATAACAAATATTTCATTAAAAGTGTATAAAATTTAGCTCTTTAATGATTTGCAAAAAATAAGATTGTTAGATTTGTAGACTATTCACTTTTTGAAATTTTTTTTCTAAAACTTCTCATTTACACTTTTGGATAATTAGATGTAATCATTTGTAGTATAAAAGTAATCCAGTCTACATTATTCTGTTCAACTGTAATTGGTATCTTCAAAGACAAAAAATTGGATGTAACTGTTAATTGAATAATATATATATATATATATTGAATTTTAATGATTCAAATATGATCGAAAAGATTTAGGTTTGCTGACTTATAAGATCAATGAAATAATAATTTTTTTAATAAATAGTTACTTACTTACTTACTTACATTGTTGATTACTGTTATTAGCATTCAGTAAACAAGTAACTAATTGGTTAAATCATTTACTTTAAAATTTCACAAAGTGAGAGGGCAAAAATGTTAAACTGTCAATTTTTTTTCAAGACATTTATTAATATTCATCTTTTTCTACATTAATTTGAATAAAAAACAATTTAATCTTATCTACAAATTGAAATATATCCTAATTTCTGCAGTATATTAGATGATTACTGAAAGTTGTACCTAATGATCTATAAACATGAGATGTGCATAAAAATAATCAGGACATTTTAAAACAGTTAATGGTTTCCTCGTACAAACAAACGAATTAAAAACTAGTAAAATTATCGTGTATAGATAGATGTCTCAGTGATAATAAATTGCGTTGTTACACATTTTTGAGACCATGAATCGATCAATGTTAGACTACCATTAGAAACCTGGAAGTACTGGACGGCCGTTTCATCCTGGTATGGGACTCATCAGCAGTGCGCATCCACGACTCCTGCACCCCACAGGATTCGAACCCAGGACCTTCAAGTTAGACATTAACACCGTTAGATACTGGCTCAGTTATCTGATGGTTAGGCGTTCGCGCACAATCCCGAATGTTCTGGGTTCGAATCCTCTGAGGTGCAGGAGTCGTGGATGCGCACTGCTAACGAGTCCCATACTAGGACGAAACAATCGTCCAGTACTTCTAGGTTTCTAATGATGATCTAACATTGATCGATTCAAGGCTTCAAAAATGTGTAACTTAACAATCTTCACAACGCCGTAATGCTAATTACGTTGTATCAGTTTTTCCGGTTGGCAAGTGTGAACATTGTTCACTTTGAGAATACTCAATAAAAATTGAAGTCACAAGTTACATAACTTGATATAAATTTATTACTAATGATAAATTATGATTCATATTATGGTAAACTTTATTGTATACATCAACTGTTTGTTAAATATTTTTTTCTTTTCTTTAAATAGATTGTCAAAGCTATACAAGTATTACGTATACATTTATTGGAATTGCATAAAGTCAATGAATTATGTAAAGATTTCTGTTCCCGGTATATTTACAGTTTAAAGACAAAATTTCAATCTGATCCATTAATTCATGGTAAGTAACATTGAAAATAGTGAAATAAATGTTATAGTTGTTTTTTGCAGTTCCAGTTAGATTGTTGTAAATAAAGAATGGAATATAATGACTTAGTTAAGTAAAGCTAAAGTATTTTACACAGAAAGGCTATTCACTATGAGCATGGGTTGACATCAACAGATATCTGAGTAAAGATTTTGGTAGTGGTCCATATCGTCACCAATTGTTGGTCTGAGTCATGTAGATAGGTTTAGACTACCTGAGTCCCTTCATCAATGTTCACTCATGGGATATCGAACCCAAGACTTACAGGTCCAGTGGTGAACATAAGTACCGTTAGAATCAGCGACTTTGTTTTAAGTGGTACGATTTCCACTTCAGTCAGTTTTGTAACGTAACGTGACAATCATTCAATACCACTGGTAATAACTGTCTCACTCCCGACATTTCTGAACTCCATCAGTCTCGACTGTGATAAATACAACCTACATTTATTCGTTTAGACACCTATAAACTTGAATTGTATATAAGACATTTTTAAAAACGTTGTTTTCATCTACATCAATTTTTCAACCTGTACCAGTTGACAAGTGCTGCATATATGTCACACATAAAGTTTCCTCGTATTCTACTGAAACGTGGATAAATTTAACCTTCCTGAAATCAATGTATTCAGTTTAGAAATTACCAATTTTTATAGATAGGTCACTCAGTCAGTGATAGTTAAATAACAGTTACTATTTTCTATTTGTCTTTATTGCTATTGTGTTACCCTCTTTGATTTGTGTTATATTTATCTCTCTAACACATTTGCTATGATTGCAGCCTAACTTTATATAAACATAGCCATTTGACTAAAGGTACTGTAATACATAATAAATGTGAGTCATTTCGAAGTCCAACATAAGTTTCAATCTTATTTGAGTATTTCAGAAAGAAATATATATACCAATCGATCACTTATTAGTAGCTGCCGTCTTACCTTGTTCGAGTGGTGACCAAATTCTAATGATCACAATTTAATGTCATCAGTAGAATTAGTAACTGAAGAATATCATGAGTTTCTTTTGATAGTCGGCGGTTGGAGGCAAGTCCAGCCGAATTCCTGCACTAAGTTATCTTTTGGGGCAGAGTTTTGGAGGATTGTGTTTTTACATATTTGAAATCACCAATCAATCAACCGTTGGATGCCGGCCCAGTGGTCCGACGGTTAGGCGTTCGCGCACAATAGTGAATGTCCCGGGTTCGAATCCTGCGAGGAGCAGGAGTCGTGGATGCGCACTGCTGATGAGTCCCATACCAGTACGAAACGGCCATCCAGTGCTTCCAGGTTTCTGATGGTGGTCTAACAATGATTGGTTGATGACTTCAAATGTGTAAGTTATCTTTAATAATAGTAGGTAAATATTATCACTACTATATACATGCTATAGAAACTGTGTTGTTTCAGTCATTTAATCAGTACTATATAAAAACATAAAAAATGAATCTTCTTCCACACATCACTTCATTTAGACACTTTCCAATGGTTGTTTTCTCCTTTATCTGTCATGTTATCTTGAGTAGACTTATTGACTAAATCTAATAATAGTAATAACATGTCACAGTTTTTTGTGTGACAACAATTTTCTCAAAAAATAAAACCCCGAGTAATCTGAAATTGGTTTAATATTATTCACAATATTTTATAATACATTGTAAGCAGTACTCACATATAACTGATTTATTTAATCAAGCAATATTATTGAGAATTCATTCAAATTTGTTTTTACTGTTCTTCCCTAGTAAAACGAAACTATTATCATCTCACTTATTTACATTAAGTGAATATTCCTTATTCTTTAGAAATTTTTAATTTGTAGAAAAAGTGGATTTTCATGTGGGCACATATAGATAATTCATCAGTGAAAATTAATTTCAGCGAAATGGAAGTCACTATAAGTATAATTATTCTTAATATTACTACTACTGTTACTACTACTGCTACCGATAATAATAATAATAATGATAATGATAATAATAATAATAATAACAATAATAATAAGCAGTTATTTTTGGGTCTCAAGCGTTGACACACATTCAGTTACGTTCTTCGTCTGTGTGTCTATCTAACAGGTCTATATGTATGCGTGTGTCATTTTCCAACTCACACTTTTGATGATTGTTATTACTTTGTATTTGAAATAGTTATTTATTTCCGCCATCACTTTCACATAATATAAGATTATTATTATTTTACTTCGTTTTGAATTTTGAACTAATATTCTAATGCTTTTGTTGTTGTTTGTAATGGTGGCAGTGGTATTGTAACAGACTTAAGGGAGAGGGCCAAAGAAAAATATAATACAGAATACAAAGATGAGTGGATGGATGAAAGGATGAATGGACGGAATTGACTGACTGATGGAGTGACTGCTTAACTAAATCTATTGGGCGGACAAACTATAAAACGGAAACCGATTTCACAGCGAGAACAAGACCTAAACTATAGACAAAACTATTATTATCATTATTATTAACGATTATCAATATATGGATGGATAAATACTAATCTAAGTAACATAAGAACTTGTAACCTGTTTCCATGACATTTTCTTCTATTCCGGTTTCACTTTGTTACTTTTCAATATGTCATCAGGTATACAAGATTTAGGTTTTAATGAAAATAAAAATGCTTAAGTGTAAACTATTGAAAAAAGGATTTCGATCATGCATTGGAAATCAATAATCAATGAAAACCTAATCAATAAGAAAATGAAAATTATAAGCCTAGTTTATTTACTCCATAGATTTAATGATTTATGAGATAGCGGCAGTGATATTTCGCCGTTTCACCTTTAACCTTAGTGAGTTTTTTTCAAGAAAATCAATATTTGTCCCTATTTTCATCAAATCATTTGAATTAAAGCATTAAATTTCATGGGAACATGACTTATTGTTTTACCCCAACTTCTTACTTACTTACTTACGCCTGTTACCCCCAATGGAGCATAGGCCACCAAGCAGTGTTCTCCAACCAAACCTGCCCTGGGCTTCCCATTCAAGTTCTTTCCAATTTTTGTTCATTCTTCTCATGTCTTTCTCTATTTCTCGGTGTAATGTGTTCCTTGGCCTTCCTCTTTTCCTTTGACCTTGAGGGTTCCATGTGAGGGCCTGTCTAGTGATGCAGTTTTACCCCAACTAGAAAAGTGAAAATTCAAACTTTTATTGCTTGACTTGTTTGGTTAAAGTTCTTCAATTTCATGGAGTCCGATAATCACATTTTATTCATTAAATTCTGTTGTTCATGTGAATTAAAATCACACATCTATGTTAAATAAGTTTATTTGGTATTTTCGTTCACAGCCATACTGTAAGCCTACTTAGTGATCTGGAGGTTAATTGCTATCCCCAAGACCTAAAAGACCTTGGATCTATAACCTCAGAGGATACATACTGCTAAGGAGTTCAATACTATGATAACACAGATGTTCAGTACTTTCTGGTTCCCAGTCGAAGAAATAAAACATGAAATCCATCAATGTAGAAAAACCACTATGTTGAAATAGATTTGAACAGAAAGTGAAAAATTATTAGTTCCATCTGTCATTAAGGTACATTTGACTGAAAAAATCTTATATACATTACAGTAATAAGGTTGATGTAATTATATGCAAATGAAATTTCATTTATGTGAATAACGCACACACACACACAAATAATCATTTTAGAGGAACATAATAATAATGATAAATAAATAATTACATAGACACAGCAATCTATCCACTCCCTTTCTATCTCTTTCACTTTCATTAAATACACCACTACGCGTCTTTCTTCTTTAACTATGTGATCGCAAAAAGAAAGAAGATGGCTTAGTGCATTACTTTGTAAATCATTGAATGAATGAATGAATGAATGAATGAATAAGTAACTGAACTGTAGGACGATGCTAATAATACTAGAACCATTTTGATTGACAATGGAAGAAGAGTATCATGATTGACATTTAAGTTTGTATTTTCTTTTTGGACAAATTACTTTTATATATATATATATATATATATATGCACGCGATTATGACGATTCTGTCATTGTAAGCATTTGTAGATTTGCGAAAACCAGTATGCATATTATTATGTTTATAAGTATGCATATATATATATATATATATATATATATATATATATATATATATATATAGTGTTTGCATGCATGCTAATAGATATTTAAAGTATTCAATACTGGACAAAATCAAATACAGGAATAAATATACTGGATCATGGAGTAAAATTATTCGAACCTGTACGTTTACATACAACCCACACACGCACAAACCTAAATGAAAGAAAATGAATAATGTTTGATAAGCAGGCGAAAAATGCAGAAAAAAATTTGTACATATATATATATATATATATATATATATATATATATATATATATATATATATATATATATATATAAGAATTTGTTTTTATAATAGAAAATTCTATTCGACTGGAAACTAATCCACATTAATAATACTTTTTTTTTCTTCTGAACATTCATTTACAATAAGATTGTCTTAAGTTAGACAAATAAAAAAAAGATAGACGATTTAAATAAAATAATTCATCCGAACTTCATTGTCTGTTTTTTTAGATAGAAGAATCCGGTAATGAAAAGACGTTGTCATAGCTACTTGTGTAACAGAACAAATAATAATATTGTATATAGGCTGTACTAAATGAACACTAATATCTTTTATAATATGAACTGGAGTCGTGATGTAAGAATTGATGTCTGTCAAATGTAAATAATAAAATAGTACTTGATACACCAATAACCTATTAGACAGTGCACTGAACTTGTATGCTACATGCTATTCTACTTTTGTAATAACTGAAACAATTAAAAAGAGTTTAGAATTCAAAGGATTCTTTTAGTTTGTCATTGTATATAGTGATCAGTCATTATTGATATGGTTCTCTAACATTTGATCATAGATTGCCTACACTAGCTACAATTATATATTTTCTAGTAGTAGTAGTAGTAGTAGTATAGGTTTCATAATGTTAATTTAAACAAATATTTATTAGTTTGGGAGTTGGTTAATTCAGTAAAAAATCTTATCAGCATCAGTGTGTTGGTTACTTCCAATAACTAGTAGAATAGGGTAATTTTTATCAGTGAATATGATCAATCATTACTTACTTACTTATGTACGCCCATCACCCCATATGGAGCATAGGCAGCCAACCAGCATTCTCCAACCTACTATGTCCTGGGCCTTCCTTTCAAGTTCTAGCCAATAGCAATTCATTCTTTTCATGTCTGTCTTCATTTCTCGGCGTATTGTGTTCTTCAGTCCTTTTCTTCAACTGTGGCCTCAAGGATTCCAGGTGAGGGCTTTTCTTGTGATGCAGTTGGGCGCCTTCCTCAACGCGCGTCCTATTTACTTCCAGCGCTTCCTCCTAATTTCTTCCTCTCATGGAATCTGGTTTGTTCTTACCCACAGTAAGTTGTTGATAATGGTGTGTGACTAGCGGATCCGAAGTGTATTGCGTACTTAACTGTTAATGAACTACTGTATTTTCTGGATGGTGGCTTTCGTAGTTCTCCAAGTTTGCGCTCCATACACCAGAAATGTCTTTACTTTTGTATTGAAAATTGTGACTTAGATGCTGGCTGACATACAATTGTTTCGAGTTGCTGACGTTCCTCAATTGTAAAAATGTTGCCCTTGCTATGCCTATCCACGCATTCACTTCTGCTTCAGATCCACCTTGCTCATCAATGATGCTGCCCAGATATGTAATGGTATTTACATCCTCCAAAGCTTCTTCGTCAAGTGTGATTTGTTCGGCGCATGTTATGTTGTATCGGAGGATTGTACTTTTCCCCTTGTGCATGTTGAGACCTACTGCTGCTTAGGTCACTGCTATACTGGTCCTTTTCTATTACGTCTGTTGTTGTATTTGGAATAGAAGAGTTAGATCATCTGCTACGTTCCAATAGTCTAACTGTATTCCAAATATCCCTGAGATGTTCACAGCTTCATAATCCAGTCGATCACCAGGAGAAAGACAATAGATGAGAGTAAGAAACATTGTCTGACGCCGGTCCTCCTTGTATATTTATATTTACATATAAATCAGAAGGATTTTCAGTGTGATGAGATGATCATTATACCGTTTAGAGTTCAGTAATTTTCATATTAACTATGGAGAACTCGTTGATTTTAATGAATTAATAATGTAATTAATGATTACTCATAAAAAGACTATTAATCATTCACTACTCTCTCGAATGAACAAATATTTGTGTAAAACTAAACACTATTCATCAGTATAGTATATTAGTAAAACTACTTATGACAAAATAAATGATGATCAAAACATTAAATCTATCATTGTCAAGAGGTGTTTAATTGTAAAAAAAATTGGTCAATTTATTCTATATGACATTTTCAATGAATTTCTATGTTGACAGCTTCACAGTGTTATGCTTTTTATTATATATTATAAGTATGTATTATTTCAGTCAGATTTTCAATTTTAAAATTAAATGATGTCCCATAGGTATGCTATGATGGCATGATTTCAATTAATTAAATATTATAAATAACTTTCATTTTTAAAATTTATTTTACAAATAAATTCACATGTTTTTTTTTATCGGAATACATCATTGTGTTGTTAGGTATTTTTATAATTACACGCTGTAATTATCATCAACTGATTATTCATTCAGTGTGCTTTTCAAAATGATTAATTACCCCAGCTGTCTGCCCTAGTAGCATACATACTCTGATTACAACAGCAATTTAATCATTGGTTTAGTGTGTATGAGTCGAATTTCTATTCATATATACATGTATATATAAATATATATTTATATAAATATACATGTACCTGCTTATAAGCATCATTGTAAAGATGGCGACTACACAAGGAGCAAATGAATAAACACGAAAGGTTACTTATGATTGTGTGTTTTTTTTAAAAAAATATCAACCTATCAATATCATGCTTACAATCTCTACCGTCATCATCATCATCATCATTCTAGTCAAAGCAGTTCGCTTTGTAACATCATTTAGTCGATGGAGAAAGGAAGAAAAAATTTATGTAGAGAAAAAGATTGAATTCTTGTGACCACGCCTCATAAGTGCTATGACCTTTAAACGAAAATATAAACAAAATATTTGCATTATATGGATATTTTTTTCACAAATCTATTGTGTCAGTTTGTATATTTTGAATTATTAAAACACGCGATAAGGTCCTAGTTAGTGAACTGCACTAAACTAATGCATAGATTTATTCCTGTTTGTAATTTCAGACTTGTGCCATCTTTATAGATATATATATATATATATTTATATATATACGTGCATGATTTTAAAATTTTTACCCGCATATGATTAAATTTAATTCTGTTTAATGTTTTATATTCATCTGCTTTTGTTTCAATAGTGTATTTATTCACTGTTTAAACACATTATTTCCCTCTTTTATTCCTCCTATATACTAAATGACCTTGATGATAAGTTATTGACTCAGTATGAGCCCTTATTTTTTTTACTTTAGTTGTATCTTAATTTAATAACAATACAGTATAGTAAGCCATATAGTTCAGTCACTTAAAAATTAATATTGAGTTTATTTTGAAGTCCGAATTTTGTAAACAGTTCTGGACAAGGTTAGATTAGCAATATTCTTTTCGCCTCAGGAATAAACTACTCTTAACCTACTAGCCTTAATAGTTAATAATGGGATTGGGAAACCAATTTTTTTTCCATTGAAATATCATCTCTTTTATTTTTAATGTTATTTTTTTTAAAATACACTTATACACCACTGATTGAGGCAATTTAAATTTTTTTTAAAAAAATATCATCGTATTTATTATTTCTGAAATCAATATTCTCGGTTATATTTAATAACTGAACAGAGTTACGAGTAAAAGCCTAATAAAGTTAACTTTCGAGAATATTTTCTTTCTTTGGATAAATCATTGTTTTACGGCGTTTTGGAGTTTGTTAAGTTACACATTTGAAACCATGAATCGATCAATGTTAGACAGCCTTTAGGAACCAAGAAGCACTAATGGACAGCCGCTTCGTCCTGGTACGGACTCATTAGCAGTGCGCATCCACGACTCCTAAATCTCGCAGGATTGGAACCAGGACCTTCGGTTTGGCGCGCGAATGCCTAATCTCTGGACCACTGAGCCAGTATCTAACGGTGTTAATGCCTAACTTTGATCAATTCATGGTCTCGAGCAACCTCATACATTGTTCGGATGTAAAGAGTAACTACTGAAGACAGTGTATGAGGTCTATTGGTAGCGAAATCTTAAGAATTTCAGATATCATGGAGAGAGATTAATATCATCATTTCATTTTTTTGTGTTTACTGAATTTTTTTGGTTTACAAAGTCAAGTGATCAAGTATTGCAGTAAATTACATTTAGCCTTACATATATATATATATATATATATATGCATTTTGAAATTAAAAAGTTAGATGAATAGACTACAGTAAATATTAATTTCTAACATTGTAAGAATGGCTTGCTGACTGTTTACTGCAAACAATCATTGGATTTAAAACCCTTTTTTTAAAACCCCTTTTTTTTCTTTTTTGATGACTGTAATGAACTTAAAGTAGATAATGCTACGAAGTACACCAAACTTTTGATCACACAGAATAACAAGTGTAAAAATTATTGATATCAAATCTGAATTATGACCAGCAGCGTCAGTTGAATCTACCAACATCCTAGTGTTGATGTTCAGATTGAAATTCCAATCCAGTTATAAACAGTTAAAACCCCATTGTGTTGTCCACTAGTCTACTGAATCTAGATGTTCACTAATGTGTTTACTGGGTATAAAATTATTTTACAATGTTTATAGTTTCGCATTATTTGATATCAATCACTACAATAACTTTCACTGGCAACATCAACACTGAGATGTAGATACACCTCGCCGACGCATGTCCTGAATCCTACTGACAATCACAATCTAATTTTACTAAAACTATTTAATGAGTGATATCAGTGGCCTAATCCGCTTAAAATTCAAATGTAATCACATGGACTGATTGGTTATTAACATGAGTATTACTAACAGGAAAATATAAACTAGTTATTTCTAGGTTGAAAACAATTCGATATAAAACATATCAATAAGGATGATTTTAAAACCAGTAGATGTTCGTAAAAGACTGATGAACTAGTTGTACAAACTGATTGACATTTTGTGTTTAAGGACAAATCGATTCTTCGTGAATAAATTTATACAACTTACTTTCAACACTTTTCATCTCCATATTGTGGGTAAATTCGATGAACGATCAATCATGTTTTGATGCGAACTTGTAATCAATTACCCTGTTGGAAAGGGGAAAAGTTCTTACATGTCAGTGGGAATTCCGGGAAAGTATCAATTCGCTTAAATGCCCTATAATAAAATAAAAATATTTCACACTTTCAATACTATAAAGTACAAAAATCTATTATTTTCCAAAGAACTAAAATAAAATGTGAAAAAACATTTTGAGCCATTTTTGACTAACGGTCGTTAAAAAATTGCTAAATACAATTTATTCCAACACTAGATCGATCGTTTAGTTCAAGTGATATAATAGCGAAGAGCTTGAATGTGTCACTAAAAGCTTACTGTAGAATGTGTGAGAAAGTATTCATTTACACTGTATTTTTGGATGACGGTAAAACGATTTAAGAATATCAGGAATTCAATCTTTTCCTTTTTTCAGAATCGATCATATTTCTCCAGTCAAACATTTTCAGTAGTTTTCTTTATTTTCTTTCATTTCGACCAATTAGATTCACAACCATCTTCTCCTGGAGAATCTGAAGCTGTTTCTCCAATCACACCAGGTTGTTACAATCCTCGCTATCCTCCTCATCCTCATCATCATCATCACCATATGCACGGAGCAAATTTATCCTGTCATCCTGGTGGACCAACGGATATGGTAATTTTGTTTTGTTTTTTCCGGTTATTCAAATTTCAATTTAATGCTAAATTTTTTTGTTTAAAGTGTATATTATTCTGCTTTTATGGAATAACAACAGTTGTATACAAAATTGCATTTTGGTTTTTCAAGTTTAAACTATGAGAAAATAGTTTATGTCAATCATTTAATTTGTATGCATAATTTTATGTGTGAATAAATTCATCATAACTTAGCTGTGAATGTTTATGCATGTGCTTACTTGACAAAATTTTAAGCTAAATACAATAGGCATGAAGTTAATTCTATTATTGATTCCTGTTTATTCATACAAATCAAGCTAGATTTATGCGTATAAACATTAATTATAAACAAAAATTATAGATACATATAGAGCAGGTAAATACTACTACTACTACTACTACTACTACTACTACTACTACTACTACTACTACTAATAATAATAATAATAATAATAATAATAATAATATTAATAATAATACTATCACTACTACTACTACTACTAATTTCGTTCACTGAAATACTAAAGATCGTAGATTTTAACCGACGGTATTTAGTTCTATTTTCAGTTAATTATACTATTATGGACTTAATCAGCAGAAAACCAGAAGATAAATATCTTTGTATCACAAACTATTTGAAATGAATTCAAAATATTACATTGCAAAGTCTGAGAACTTTTCGCAAAGCCAATATAATAGATGTATTCTATGCTTAGTGCATATGAGACAATTAAGAAACAATTGTTCTGAAAGCTTTAAATTTCTCTGGTAGTTTTTTTTCGATATCAACTTCTAACAAATATGATTCAGTATAGCCTCTGAAAATTATACAAAATCACTAATTTGATAGCTGGGTAGATAGATAAATGGAGATTGGAAGTAAGTCTATAAACTAGGTTCAATTTTGTCTGTCACTCGGTAATAAGTTGTGTATCCAATTTGCGACTTCTCGTGAAATTATAATAAGCATCATCTAATGTTATGGCCAAGAACATTACCAATCAGTTGGCCTTACGTAAAAGTATGATAAAAGACTAAAACAGATCATACTTGATATCTAATATGCTTTCCTCTTGTGTTTAAAAAAACCAATCAGTGCTGTACCATGTATATGGACATAGTTGCACTGATGCACAAATATAACATAATAAACTTTCACATCTGCAGTTTGCTCATAAACAAATATGAGTTTAACTTGACAACACTCAATTTTCACAGAGTCTCAATCAGAAATATTTGTGAAGAATTGGATAATTTGTTGATAGACGTAAATTTGATGCGGTCTGAGAAAACAATCGATGGGAGGATTTGCGATAAAAATCTTTTAATCTACCCTTATTATGTACTCAGTCTGAAACAGACATGTTTATTCTAGTACAAAATTGAACTCATAACATGCACATGATTCTATTGAAGGAAGTCAGCTATAATAAGCTTAACAAGGCAGTAATGCTCAACAACTATTTTGACCACGAAAGCTGTCCCGATTTTCTGTCAACAAGCGGTGAAATATAAATGGAAAGTAGTATTCAATGAAGACTAATATTTATCATTACGGGGTTGTGAAGAATGTTAAGTTACACATTTTTGAAACCATGAATCGATCAATGTTAGACCACCATTAGAAACCTGGTGGTTTCAGAAATGTGTAACCTAACAATCTTCACAACCCCGTAATGCAAATTACCTGTGCTCACTAGTGACTAGCTTCATGAGTAATCTTCTCCGAGTTCTAGTGGGAAGACGTGACCAGTGAAGTTCAACCTATCCGGGTATGAGGTTGCGCAACTCCGTGAACTGATCAAATTAGACATTAACGCCGTTAGATACAGGCTCAGTGGTCCGATGGTTAGGCGTTCGCGCACAATACCGAGGGTCCTAGCTTTAAATCCTGCGTGGTGCAGAAGTCGTGGATGCGCACTGCAGAGGAGTTCCATACCAGGATGAAACGGCCGTACAGTGCTTCCAGGTTTCTAATAGTGGTCTAAATGATCGATTCATGGTTTCAAAAATGTGTAATATTCATCATTTAACTGTAAATGTAATGGGAATAGTGATTTCAGTATTTAATGAATGGACTATTGTCTAAACAATTTGAACAACTAGTTTTCTACTCAAGACTTAAACCTAAGAAGATGTAGTTGCTCTATCGAAATTTCTCAAAAGGGACTACCTGCTTTATATATATATATATATATATGTCAGTGTAACTAACATTCACGTGTCAAATGACCTAGCTCATTTATCATAACACTTAAAAAATAAAAATTCATCTTCACAAAATATAAAAATAGTATATATTTTAAAAAAAAAATAATTATAGAAAATACATCTGATTAGAACGACTCGTATTAGACTCGTATTAGAAAGAAAGCTTCCTACACAGTAGGTGGGCATAAAGAATGTAAATGTTTTTCTCATATGATGATTCCATTTTCATTCTTTCACTTCTTTAACTTTTATCTACATTTTTTTATTTTACAAAATAAGTATGCTTGAATAGGGAGGGAATTTGTATTATAAACAATTATTAACTTTTGAATGTCAATATGCAAATTCTGTGATACACACACATATATACATACATACACATTATTTATTTATGCGAAGTTCAGTCATAAGAGTTAAAAATTCACAGTCACATTGTTTAACTTGGCTTCAAAGAATCACTTCAAATCATAAACTGCACAGTTAAGAATATACGGTAGTTGTTTTCTGTATTCCACCATAGAGTAACTTGTTTTTAAAAATCGGTTTTTGATGTGTGAATGTGTAACAGATTAGTAGTGAATGTGATGTAGCCCATGCTAGATTGTATTAGACAAGTTAATGACACTTTTCTGTGAGATTTTCTCATCTCACGATAGAAATGTCTAGAAAGAAGTGTGCTTGCTACTTCCTATCTATAATGGAGAGAAATGTCTTTACAGAATGATTGATACACTAGCATGTAAGCTGAATGGATTTGTTTAGAAAAAATTCCCGGTATGGGAAATTCTTTTCTTTTCTACACACTATTTTAGCTTTGATCCATATTCAGTTCACCTTATAAGTTGGTGTACTAAATTTAAAACTGGTTAGAAAGTAACTGGTTATCATATTTTTCTAGCCAGTTTGAAGATACAAATATTTCTCGTGCTGTTACGGGTATGAAGGCGATTGTCACTTCCCGGCTGCCCACACCGTGGAACGTTGTTTCTTGAGGGACCTGAAAAAGGAGGTAGATTAGTGTTGGTCTTAGAGACCTGGGAGCGTGACCGCAGAGTCCAAGGGACAACTGCTTGAGGCTGGTCACACACGGCTTTTTGATTAGTATTAGCTCTGCTCTTAAAATCCCTTACTGGGCACCCTTACCCAAGGAGACGGAAATCCGTGAGGTAGGGAGAGATGTGACATTTTTAGGGTCGACGTTTTCTAAGCCCTTCCTTCCTTGTGAAAAGGCAGCATCGCTGAAAATGCTGGTTGTCCGAGGGAAAAACCTTACTGCTGTCACACCCCTCTGCAGTCAGCAGTACGACTTCGCCCTCAGACCTTGGGTAGTTGCTTTTAGTCTCATTGTTCTCCAATCGACCTGCCTGGCATGGTAGAACCTTGAGGAACATAAGTTCCAGCCAATATAGCTCGTTTGGGTCATCATGATAAGCAAGCCCGACCACCATGTCAAGGTAGGAGCTATGGTCGAGACACAAATATTTCTAGAGACTATTGGATGAAATTTTTATTTGAATGAAAATATTTTAAAATTCAGTACTAATATACTGCATCTAATTACTATTCATCTACTTAATGTCTGATGACTAAACTTAATCAGCGTTGTGCAACATTATTTGTAGATGAGAAAAACTTCGAGCAATGTTTGGACGAAAGCCACTTTTATCAACAGGTCAACTTAACTCGGAAGCTGGAATCATTAAAACGTATATTATTCGTGCTGCCGGTGCTCAATAGCTTAGTCTTTAGAGGCGATAAGAACAAAATTTTTCACTCTCCTATCATAGCAAAAGTGAACTTATAAATGATCTAAAATGAAAAAAGAATTTTAAATATCCAATATCCAAATGAGTGGATAATTAAATTTTCTGACACTTTATCATATAAATGTCATGCTACTCAGGGCAAAGATGTTTCTACACAAAACATGATTTATGAATAGATATATACTCTTGGGTAGGCGTTAAAAAATGTGATATTTGTAACGTGGAGTTTAGTATTTTAATTTTTATGAGTATTTGAGATATGATTTTAAGAGCGAATTCGCATTTATTAATACTTGTATACAACTTGTCATAAAAGTAATACCTAACCTGTCCAAAATCACATCTCAAATACTCATAAAACATCAAACTATTCAACTCCACATTACAAATATCACATTTGTTCACGCCCACTCAAACAGATATATCTATTCATCAATCCTGTTTTGTGTAGAATCATCATTGTCCCAAGTAACATGACACTTATACAATCAGATTTGTATGCATGCATGCACTAAATTGTTGATTTGATTTGTTCCTTGTTTTAATTTGAAAAAGTGATTTATTTTTTGTGCAAGTGATTTACTCTGAGTTGTAAAGTAACAGAGAATTTAAGTATCCACTCCTGTGGATATCAAATATTCAATATTATTTTGTATCATTATAAAATCTCTACTGAATCATCAGTTTATTTTAGACAACCAAGTCAAATATTGGTAACAGTAATCATTTACCTATAATTACTTTGCTTCTATTTTTGTTTAACTTCTTCAGATTCCACCAGGATATCGACGTCATTTATCCAGCCGACTAGATGATGATTCTTTGTGCGGTTCATCTGATGTAGAAAATCTCCGTTCAGATTGTTTACATTCCAATTCACTTCCCAATAGTTGTACAGGTTGTGATATGAATGGATCATGTTACACTCCGAATTTTCAAACAGTTAATTATAATTCACCTTATTTAATGGATAAATCTATGGTTCAAGACGGCTCAGTGTCTTGTGATGAGTCACTGTCCCAGCTGCATTCATTCCTTTCACCGTATGGTTCAACTGCTTTAACGAGTGCAGCATTTCATGCCAGTTTGGATGGATTATGCCTTGGTGGAAAACAAAAACGTGGAGTACTCCCGAAACGTGCTACTCAAATTATGAAACAATGGCTATTTCAACATCTTGTGGTAAGTTTGTTATTAGATGCGAAGCTATTAACTATTGAAATAAATACTTTTGATAAAACAGAAAGAGACAAATCTTTCTAATAAAGTTGATAACAGTTGTTTGATTGCTGCTGACTTGTGGTGAGATCTGTAAGGCATCTCTAAGTAGTTGTTTGTATGATATAATATACATCTTCAGCTAAATGGTATCACTGCTTCGTGTCCAGGCTTCGTACCTCCTTTCTTTTATCATATCCTTTAGCTGAATGAAATTTTGGTCATGTAAACGAGATAACTATAAAGGAATATTAAGTTTATTTTATGCTAACGAACTATATTACTTATAAAATGTATCATTTTCAGGATGAGTTTTTTCCTCTCTTTTTTTAATGCTGTAAAAACGAGATAAACCAATTTCTAATGAAATTTTTTTCTCCAAAAATTTATAAAATTTAATCATTTATTGTAATTTAACGCAAATAATTGTTTCGATTGTGCCAAGTTAAGCTTAATAGATTGTTCATGAGAATGCATTGAATTTTACCTTTTTTATTTATTACTTGTGTTCAACACTAAAACAAAACGGATTGATTAGTTCTAAATGCTTTTGTTCAACAAACTTAAACAGATACTTCAGTCAATAAATTAGTGATAGTTTATCGTTTGTTCGTAGGGCGGAAATTTGAAAATGGAATCTTTACATTGTACACAAAGTGGACACTTTTGACATGCATTGCTGAATAAACTTTGTTCATAAAAATATTCTGACAGATAAACAAACTTGATAGTACAGTCTGTTTTATTTAATGTCACAAATATTAAGCAACATTTGAATGTAATACTTCTTACCGATTACTTCTAACTATTTAAGGATTTCAATATATATATACTGATGATCTTGTTTTCTTTTCTTGTGTGAGATGATTTATCCATGGAGCTCTCGTTAGTTTCCTAAACTAAAAAAACAAATTCAAATTACAGCTAACAGCCAATCATCATTTATTTAGACATAATTAACTGTTAACTGCTCATGGACAAATTCCAATAACCTAATTAATTTCCCCATTTTTTTACTGATGATGCTGTTAAGCAAAATTTTGAGAGCTTCATAATAAAAAGAAAAAACTTAGTCTAATAAAGAGAATAGCTCGTGATCTAATCCTACTGACATAATATATTTCCTTGTCATTGACAAGATATTTTATTAAGCTCAAACTGAAGTCAACCATGGCAAATGTTTTATATTCATTGGATTAGCAACAGTATTTTTTAGCGTAAATATTAGCATAAATCATTATTATTATGATTAAAATTACGTGAATTTCATCAGTCATATATACACATTGTCCTTAATACAGTCTATGAAATGTCAGTCAATGCATTTCTCACAAACAAAAAGGTCATCATGATTTATAATTTGATAAATTAATTCACAGAATAATTCTTATAGAAAAAAAACTTTTTATTTACGTTCAAGTTAATGAAGCAAAAGTTAATTTGATTTATGCAATAATAAATTCTAATAATTGGTTTTTAATTGAATATAAAAAAAATTTAAATTAATAATTTCAAAATCGACAAAATTTATTTCATCAATTAGAAAATGTAAATTAATGTCCAGTGAATTGTGTAGGTGTATATTTGTGGAAAATCTGAAGTTTGTGCTGATGATGTTGTTCAGAAGAACAATGTAAGCTCCACAACCAAAACATACAGCTCAGAGAACCAAAGACCACCACAAAATTGATGAACGTTCTGTATTACTGCAAAAGTTGCTAGTGAAATATGCTTATCCTTATGTGAATATGTACAATTATGAATTATGATGGATGCAATTTGATGTGATAAATTCTCTATAAAATTCATAAAGCTTACTGTTTTTATCCTGAAGAAAATGCTAAAATTTTAGTGCTGATTAATTTAAAATTAAAACTTCAATACAGTTTTAATTTCAAGTGAACTGTTACGACATGAATCCGAGTTTTTAGATCCGACGGCTTGCTTGATTTCTATTTTTTTTTTTTCATTTACCACTAAACACAGCCATTTTATTGACGTTAACAATTATAAAACGGAAGAATAAAATTTAACAAGTATTGAATAATTATTGATTAGTTTCTTGGGAATCAATAAATTAGATTAAAATTTGTTTGGTAAATATTAACGAATTATTTAACAATAAAGACGAATAAATCCAGATGATAAAATTATTGAAAATCAGATTTGTAGTGAAGATTTCATTGAGGACTCTTCTGTAGGTTATACGTATAATCTAAGAACAGGGTTGGAATTAGAACATACAATCATTTCAGTTTCTCGAACACTTTTAAATCATTAAATTGGAGACTATCAATTAAAAATTTTCCACTTGTCATGTCATGTAATTTTCACTGTTGGATAGTGATAACGTTCCATCCGATTTGAATTATACCCAAGATTACACAACTTTTTACAAGAACATTAGGAAGTTAATCTTAAATGAAATCACAACTGAATAGACGGTTATTGTCGTTACCAGAAAATGGTTTTACGAAAATGTAGTTTTCAACTAAATATTTCCTATAAATTAATGATACACATCTTAATGGTTGCATACAATTTGTTAACTACTGTTCTGTAGTAAGAGATTAAGAGTTGAATCTAAGGTAGCTTAACTTGGTGTGGATTTAAAACTCACTTGAAATAAGATCATTTCCCATTGTTTATTTTATTTAACTGGTTAATAGACACATTAAAAACATAAATTCCATATTTTTTAGCTACTAAGCTTTAATTCCTTACAGTGTTGTATGTTTGATTCCCGTGAGCTGGTGTCATGGGTACGCACTGCTGAGAAGTCTTATACCAAGACGAAACGGCCACCCAATGCTTCCAGGTTTCTGATAGTAGTCTAACAATGACTGAATCATTAGAATATTTAGTAAATAAAAAATATAAAAATGAGGAAACTTTGAAAAAATGTTTGATAACTATGGGTTTTTTTTAAAAAAAATTTAAACAAGTGTATTATTAAGTAGTATATATTGACATTTAGTTACATTCATTTTGTTTAATCACAAAAGTAGAAACATTAAGTGCAAGAGAGAGAGAGGAAAAAAGTCTTCATACAATTGCGTGAATATCTTGGTAGGAGGGTTTCATTCTTACTACATTATTAATATTATTATTATTATTATTATTATTATTATTATTATTATTAAAATTATACTATCGTAAATATCTCATTTATCAGTGAAATAAGAATATAAACCAGTAGGACTATTTTTTTTTCTAATTAGTAATATATTAATCACATACCAATCAACTTACATCATATTAATTCTGCTATAACTAAACATTATTTTGCATATTAAGAATGATTCTATGCAAGTTGTACGAGTGTTTCTATTAATGTGTATCATTAATTACTGTCTCAATTTGAAAAATGAAAACAACACTGCGCATTGACGAAGGAAAAAAAAACGAGACTCGAATCAACCACCTGTGGTGAATGTAATTTTGATTTAGAATAATAATTGTAATGATTCGGATTTGCTATTTCTGTTTTGGTTTTAGAAAAAAAAAAGAATGAAGAAAGATCATGATAAAATACTTTTTTCTTTTTCACATGCATAAAAAACTAATCACATCACTAACAATGGTAGATATATTTGTGGAAATTTTTACTCTTTTAAACAATTGTTTAGCTTACAGAGAAAATACACAACGAATTATGAAATGCTTACTGATTTACTTTTAAACATTTTGTCATTTTTTTTAAAAATTCCTTTTGTGCTTTCTCTACCCCGTGTAGTTTTTGTCAAATTGGTGTTTGCGTATGTGTGTACAAAAATAATTTTTACAATCTAGATCTACTCACTCTCTTTCTCGCTCCTCTTTCCTCCTTATTTTTTTTAACTAATCTGTGTCGTTGAATTAATTAACTATTTTTGCATGTCCACTTTCTTCTACACTGTTGCTTAAGATTATTATAATTATCACTGTTGTTATTATTGCTATCAGATCAAGATGATCAGTTTAGAGAATAATTAAAATCCTACGGTGAAATGGACTGGTTCACATTTGATGTTCATGAGATAATAATTACCATGTCATTAGTACACTACAGATATACGGGTTTTGTGGACAGCTGTTTCATTTGTAGGTGATATTCTTTACGAACTGAATCTAGTTGAGAGATTATGAGAGATATCAGATAATATTGGAGAGCTATTTCGTTTTATTTTCAGACTGTTCAGGGATATGGGGGTGGAACAGTTTTCACCAGTAACAAGCCTGAGTATCATGAATTAATGGAATACTGACGCACTGCTTCAGTGGTTAAGCACTCAAAGAGCAACCTAAAGGTTTCGTTTTTAACGACTGATGGAGTCATGGATCCATGCTGCTGAAGAGTTCCATAATAGGACGTCAAAACTGTCAAACACTTTCTGGTTTTCATTCACACTCCTAAAAAGATCAATCCGTTACAGATATTCTTTTCAAATAGTCAATTAAGATTCTTTTAGGATTATGATCACTGATGCAAATATTTTTTATTATATTAGACTAGCTCATTAAAACAGTGAGGGTCATGTTTTATAAAGAATCTATAAATATCACTTGAAGAAGCGCTTGAAATCCGGTCCACTGTGAAGCGAAGATATCTTTCTTTAAAAGATGTTAGAAATGAATAACCATGAATCTAATATAGGATAAAATTCAGTAAACTAGTCTCTAACGGAACAGAAAAGATTCGCAACTAACAAATCAGTAAGTTTACTCCATTTAGAGTTATCCTCTCCTCCTTTCTGCTAAAAGGAGATAAATATGATTCTTGCATCTTAAGAGTGGTCGCTGTACTTCGATTCATAAGCAGTGCGTTGAAGTTGACTGATCACGCTTAAAATATTGAACAGATTAAATTTAATGAATTTATTGTCATCAGTTGAGTAGCATTAATATTTAGCAACACTGAATCACCTTTCGCACTGTGTTGATCAACGTAGAAAGTATCTTGTTTTTTACTTATTTCTTAAATA